TAAACCCTAAACCCTAAACCCTAAACCTAAACCCTAAAACCCTAAACCCCCGCCTAAACCCTAAACCCTAACCCTAAACCCTAAACCCTAAACCCTAAACCCTAAACCCTAACCCTAAACCTAAACCCTAAACCCTAACCCCCCTAAACCCTAAACTCTAAACCCTAAACCCTAAACTCCTAAACCCTAAACCCTAAACCCTAAAAACCCTAAACCCTAACCCTAAACCCTAAACCCTAAACCCTAAACCCTAAACCCTAAACCCTAAACCCTAAACCCTAAACCCTAAACCCTAAACCCTAAACCCTAAACCCTAAACCCTAAACCCTAAACCCTAAACCCTAAACCCTAAACCCTAAACCCTAACCCTAAATCCTCAACCCTCAGCCTTAGCAGTCTTAGTTGAGAGTGCGCGCAGCTGAGATCTGCGCCGTACTCCGAGTCCGTGCTCTGTCAGCCTGGAGGTGTGATGGGATTAGACTTTACGGGGTTTATTGGGATTTAGGGTTTAGGGCTTAGGGTTTAGGGTTTATTGGGATTTAGGGTTTAGGGTTTATTGGGATTTCGGGTTTAGGGTTTATTGGGATTTAGGGTTTAGGGTTTATTGGGATTTAGGGTTTAGGGTTAGTGTTATTGGGATTTATGAGGCTTCATGGGGCTTTGTGGGGCTTCATGGGGCTTCATGAGGCTTCATGGGGATTTATGACCCCAAACCCTAAACCCTAAACCCCAAACCCCAAACCCTAAACCCCAAACCCCAAACCCAAACCCCAAACCCTAAACCCTAAACCCCAAACCCTAAACCCTAAACCCTGCCCAACCCGTCCATCCCTCCGCGCCAGTCTTTCGGTGCAGGTGCGCTCCTCCGGTCGAAGCTTCATGTGTCTCAAGCAGCCACGGCCTTGGCCTTGGCCAGGGGTTTAGGGTTTAGGGTTTAGGGCTTAGGGCTTCGGGCTTGGGGTTAGGGCTTTAGGGTTTCGGGTTTCGAGTTTAGGGTTTCCAGTTTAGGGCTTGACGCGACGCCCCTCTTTGTGTCAGACTCGCTGACCATGTAGGCATGTCCCAGAATCCCCGAATCCCCTTATGTGTTCCCCAACCCTAATACACCAAGGCTGTACGACGCCAGGAAAAATGACTTTATAGGAGACCCGTCGGTCGAAGAGTGACTGGATCCTGGATTCAGGAACTCCAAAACAGGCACCTCCAAATTTTCATGCCTCGGCCCTCCCCCCCACCCCCCCCCCGCCCTCCGCCTGCCCACAGAAGGCACCCTGTAGAACTAAACGCTTAAACCCTAAGCCCCAAACCCCAAACCCTAAACCCTAGACCCTAAACCCTAAACCCCAAACCCTAAACCCCAAACCCTAAACCCTAAACCCTAAACCCTAAACCCTAAACCCTAAACGGAGCCTCTGACATGCCCCAGGAAGGCACCTGCATTGCCTCCGTTGTCACCCTCTTGCGGCCCCTTGGATCACTTTTGAACACCTTGTAGGGTTTAGGGTTTAGGGTTTAGGGTTTAGGGTTTAGCGTGGTTTTGTCATCGCGGACGCAATGCAAGCAGAAGGGAACGGTCCGAGCTTGGTTCGGAACTTCTTCTTGTCCTTTGAATCCTTAAACCCTCAACCCTCAACCCTCAACCCTCAACCCTCAACCCTAAACCCTAAACCCTAAACCCTAAACCCTAAACCCTGAATCCAGGCGCCCACCAGGCGGACGAGGACTTGGCTGTGGAATGCGCACTGGGTTTTGGGGGGAGGCACCTTGGGATGCCCGGACTGAGGGATGGCCACAGCAAGGGCTAAGAGACTAGGCTTTAGGGTTTATATTAGGTTTATAGGGTTAAGGGTTTATAGGGTTTAGGGTTAGGGTTTAGGGCTTAGGGTTTAGGGTTTAGGGTTAGGGTTTAGGGTTTAGGGTTTAGGGTTCAGGGTTCAGGGTTCAGGGCTCAGGGTTCAGGGTTCAGAGTTCAGGGTTTAGGGTTTAGGGTGCCAGCACTTGGAAGGACTACGCTCTTTTCTTTGGGGAGCACTTCTATCACCTATGACGGGAGCTCAGCGCATGTGCGTCGATGCCCGCCGGTGCGCGCGAAGACTGGCAAAACAACCCACGCCCCAAACCCAGAACCTCATAAAGCCCACAGATTCTTAGCGTTTAGGGTTTAGGGTTTCTGAAGCCCTTGAACCCTAGTTAGGTGCTAAGCCCTATAGACCCTACATCCGACCCCAACTAAACCTTGGTGGCCCAGTGGTATCTTTTCCCTTTTTTGGGTTCAAGGTTTCCTTACAGAAACTAACCCCCCCCCCCCCCCAGAATGCCAAGAAACCCTAAACCCTAAGCCCTAAGCCCTAAGCCCTAAACCCTAAACCCTAAACCCTAAACCCTAAACCCACAAGCCACAAGGCCTTGGCGAGGAGCGGCTGCTGGACCAGCCTGCCCACTTCGACTACGCTCCCATCGTGCCGAATGACAAGGATCCCGAAGTCCTTTGGGCTCCGTGGTGGGTGCTCAGGGGGTTCGTAGGGTTAGGAGGGTAAGGAGGGTAAGTAGGGTAAGCAGGGGAAAGTAGGGTAAGTAGGGTTGGCAGGGTGGGGGTTTCAAGTGTTCAGGTGTCTAGGGTCGAGGGTTGAGAGTTACTACAGTTACTCGGGTTGTGAATTCGGGCTCTTGGGAATAATTCTGAGTTGATGGGGTTTTCGCTATCCACAACTTCTTGTCAGGGAATGCGTGCGTTTTCCCCCTACAGTAACCCCCTTGAACCCCGAATGATGCGCACGGCACGCGCGGCTCAAGCGGGGGTTTTTGGTTGGGTGGTGGACATTGTCACATGCGGCCCACTCTGCTGCCCGCGTCTACACGGGGGCTTGCAGTGATTTGGGCAGGGCTCCGCATTAGGTCTCGCATCCGGGGATTCAGGATTTCGGCATGTTTGTGCTGGTACCCTTTGCACTTGCCAGCTTGGTTTTTGTCAGCTTTTCTTTGGCGCATGCATGGGAAGGTCCAGGACATCACGCATCCCGAACGCCAAGCTCCGTCCCCCCCCCCCCCCCTTTATGCATCGCGTCAAGCCCTCAATCCCGAAGCAATCGAAACAGGAGATGTCAGCCATATTTGGGTTCAAGAAAGTGCTCTTGTTGAACTAACTTGGATGTAGCGCCCTGTGTATGTGAAGAACCCAACTCCGATGCAGGAGCGCATGCGTGCGACGATGCTGGGCCGGATCGTGTTCGCGCCTTACGGACTTGTGTGTGGGAAGGCGTCCTTTTCAAACCCTGAGACCTGCGCTCCTCACAATTTAAAGCTGCTGCCGGTCGGTCCTAGACATGCAAAGGCCCCAAACCCTTGAGCTGAACCGAAACTGCTCTTCAGGTGCGTCCATCTCAAGTACAACTTGAAGCCGCAGACCCTGTACTTGGCCCACACCCCAGACAGGAGCTACACGCACACCCTGAGCCTCCCCCTTTTGTTTTTCTGGCCTCTGTCTCAGAATATCTGACGTCAAACCTGAACTTTTGATGAGGTTCGCCTGAATTTCGCTCCCTTATTAAACCCTAAACCCTAAACCCTCTAAACCCTGAACCCTCTCAACCCTAAAACCCTCTGAACCCTAAACTCTAAACCATAAACCCTCTAAACCCCGAACCGTCTCAACCCTAAAACCATCTAAACCCTAAACCCTAAACCCTAAACCCTAAACCCTAAACCCTAAACCCTAAACCCCAAACAGCCCTTTTGGAGTCGGATGAACCCTGAGGCCGTGTCGTTGCTTGACGAGTGCCTGACGATTCGCCAGCCCTGCCTTCGGCCGGGCCCACTGGGGGGTTTAGGGGTTTAGGGGTTTAGGGGTTTAGGGGTTTAGGGGTTTAGGGGTTTAGGGGTTTAGGGGTTTAGGGGTTTAGGGGTTTAGGGGTTTAGGGGTTTAGGGTTTATAGGGGTTTGGGGTTAGGGTTTAGGAGTTCAGGAGTTTCGGGCTTTAAATTTCCTAACCTGCAGTTTTTTCAGCCCACCTGCCCTGAACCCTGAACCCTAAATCCTAACCCTAAACCCTAAACCCTAAACCCTAAACCCTAAACCCTAAACCCTAAACCCTAAACCCTAAACCCTAAACCCTAAACCCTAAACCCTAAACCCTAAACCCTAAACCCTAAACCCTAAACCCTAAACCCTAAACCCTCCACCCTAAACCCTAAACCCTAAACCCTAAACCCTAAACCCTAAACCCTAAACCCTAAACCCTAAACCCTAAACCCTAAACCCTAAACCCTAAACCCTAAACCCTAAACCCTAAACCCTAAACCCTAAACCCTAAGCCCAACACTACAGTGAACCCGAGGCCGGGACTCTTGGCCCCAGTTGCCTTGCTGGTAGCCGCGAAGTTCGAGGACCTTGGAAAGGTTTTAACCAAGAGGTTCAGGGTTTAGGGGTTGAGGGTTTAGTATTTAGGGGTTAGAGTTTAGGGTTTATGATTTAGGGTTTAGGGTTTTGGGGTTTGGGGGATTGTTACGAAGTTCTGCATCGGTGAGGGTTTCGCCCTTCGCTCCTTGAACCCCTTTTCCACCCACCGAAGCCTCGCAGCCCCCTTTGTCCCGAAGCCAAAAGCCTTGGTAAGTTTCAGGGTTTTTGGGGTTGTTTGGTGAGTTTAGGGTTTAGGGTTTAGGGTTTAGGGTTTAGGGTTTAGGGGCTCAGGGTTCAGGGCTTCAGGCCAGCCAGCATGAAGCAGTTTCCTACAGGTCTCCATAGGGAGCCCCATGTACCTCTCATCATACATATGGTCTGCTGCGTAGTGCTTCCCCTTGTCCGCATCTCTAGCTGTATTGGCACAGGGGCAGACAGCTTATAAGCTGAGTTTGGGGATGCCCTGTGCCTTGTACATGATTCTTGGCCCCGGCCCTAGACCTGACAGATCCAAGCCCTAATCCCCGAACCCCAAACCCCGAACCCCAAACCCCGAACCCCAAACCCCAAACCCCAAACCCTAAACTCGCACAGAGAGCCTCCGCATGCTCGCGCAGCTCATCCGGCCGCTGCCCGTCGACACCTTCTTCCGTGAGGTGTGGGAGAAGGAGCCGCGGGTCTTCCACGCAGCGCTTGCCGCTCACCCGGCGCCCCTCAGCTGGGAGGCCACTGACAGCTCAAGTTGATGCTTTCAGTTTCACTGCTTTGGCTTCTTGGGCCTCTGGGCGCTACTGGAGATGGGTTGTATGCTTTAGAATATATACAAAATAATAATTTTCGTATATATATATATATATGTATATATATATATATAGCGTGTATCTACTATACATACTCTCTATATACTATATACACTATATATATGTACATATATATATATATATATATGTGTACTAAATATCTGCTCGGCCAGGTTCTGGATGAGGTGCTCCTTCGGACCTTGGCGCCGGGCTGCCCCGAAGAGGCAGAGCTGGTGGTCTACAAGGACCTGAAGCCCTGCGAGGATCCTTGGGGACCAAAGGATTAGGGTTTAGGGTTCAGGGTTTAGGGTTTAGGGTTTAGGGTTTCGGGTTTAGGGTTTAGGGTGATGAACCCTAAAATTGGAGCTCATCTACCCTACAGTATACCATAATCCGTATTAAGGTACTACGAGCCATAAAGCCCTTTCAGGCCTCACTTTGGCCCCCAAGGACTATTCATCTCCGACAGCTGCCTATCTGGATGGCGCCTCGATCATCGTGAACCACGTGGATAAGCTCTGGAGGCCGGTCTTCGACTTGTGCCGTGCCTTGCGCGAGCTCCTTGGAGACCAAATGAGCCCAAAAAGGGTTTCTGGTTCGTAGGCCTAAATAGGGAGTACAGTACTGTAAAGGAGCCCTAGAAGGGCTTATGGTTAGTAGGGATTATGGTAGTACAGGGTATATGACCCCCCAATTTTAGGGTTCATTTGGTGCCCAAAGGTTTCCCTCACTGTATGCGAACTGCTACGTGACCCCGCGAGCATCGCAAGCAGCCCCGCCGCACGCCGACGACCGGGATGTCTTGGTGTTTCAGCTTGAAGGTCTCTCGCTTGCAGCTACGGGGCTCCCAAACCTCTCTAGGGATGATATTAGGGTTTAGGGTTTAGGGTTTAGGGTTTAGGGTTTAGGGTTTAGGGTTTAGGGTTTAGGGTTTAGGGCTTAGTTGGGTTCAGGGCTTAGGGTTTCGGGATCAGGGTGCTTGAGTTGGTGTTGTGAGAGAGAGGCGCAAAGCACTGGAAGATTTACGGCGAGCCCCCGGTTTATTTGCCGTACCCCAGCGAGCAGGTTGGTAAGAATGGCCTCAAGGTTCCGCGGAGTCTCCTGGACACAGAGCCTGTTTTCGAGGGAGCCCTGAATGTTGCTTGGATGTTAGGGTTTAAGGTTTTAGGGTTTAGGGTTTAGAGTTTAGGGTTTAGGGCTTAGGGTTTAGGGTTTAGTGAAAAGGGCGCCTCCTGCGGTCGGTCTAGGTTCCGACACATGGGAGTCCTCCGTCGATCGCATCCCCAAGCCAAGGTTGGGGACGTCCTCTACGTCCCGCGCGGCCTTGTGCATGAAGCCGCTACGCAGGACGAGGCGTCGCTTCATCTAACGGTTGCCGTGCCGACGTATGACTGGACCGTTTCGCGGGTTCTGTGCGATGCCCTGCAAGCCGCGCTGGATGGGCCTGGGGGCAAAGAGGACCAGGTTGGTTTTTGGGTCATTTTAGATGTTCCTTATTATTTTAGAGGGGCCCTCGTAAATATTGTTCAGAGGGTTAAAAGGCCAAATCAGAGGAGAATGCTTGGCGGAGATCTGTTCCCTTCCGATCTGGGAGTTGGAAGGCCATGCCCGGCATCTTTGACAAGGCACGCTTGCGGGAGATCCTGGAGCACCTCGATCTCAACCAAGCGCAGGCCATCTTCCGGGCAAAGAACGCGCATCACAACGAGAGACAAGAAGAGGCGCTGAAATCTGCAGAGTCATGCTCCATTGCGCGCCTGCCAGTGACGAGCTCCACTGAGCTTTGCTGGCATAGCGGTGTGGGAACGGTGGATGGCTTTGAAGATGTCTTTTTCGTGGCGCCAGATGGAACAGAATTCGATCTGAACCGACTCTTGCAGATGCTACCAAAGGGCCGCCCCCTTCGACCGGCTGATGTTTGCAGCCATGGTCAGCGCGCGAAGAGGAGGCGCGTTGCCGAAGTCTCCCAACAGCGACCAAAGGTCGCTATGGGATGTGCTTTCTCGAGGATCTGTTTTGCCGCGGTATGCTTGGAGAGCGGGTTGGCTTCGCATCCTGACCCAGCTGAAAATGACGGCTGTGCTGAAGCCGAAGTAAGATAACCCCCCCTAAGAACCGTTCTACTCGCCACGTTTTGGCTGCAACCATACCGCCACTCTAAACTCAAACTTTAAGCCCTCATATTGAAGTTTAGGGTTTAGGGTTTAGGGGTTTAGGGTTTAGGGTTTAGAACATTATTCACACTAACCCGCAAAGAACCCCACCAAATCCACTGCGGCTTCCAGGAAGAGTTGTCGCCGGACTTGACAGGCCTTGCCTTGATCCAGGTGCCGCAGGGAGGAGTTTGGGGAGAAAGGGGGCTCTTGAGGGTTGAGGGTTGAAAACAACCCTAAACCCTAAACCCGAAACCCTAAACCCTAAACCCTAAACCCTAAACCCTAAACCCTAAACCCTAAACCCGAAACCCTAAACCCTAAACCCCAACAAATTTGGGGAGTTAGGCGTTGAGCAGCTTGTGGGCTTCAGCGCTGTGATCCGAGGTTGCTCGACGGTTCTTGGAGATGGTTGCTACTGGGGATGCTCCCCCGTTCCACTAACAGTCCTTAATGGGGATGAATCATAGGGGCTAATATAATTTAGTCCCTATAAAGGACTGTTAGTATAGAGGGGAAAACATCCCAACATTGGGAACATCCCAAGTTGCAACATGAATCTTACTTGCTCGTGCCTCCAACACCTAGATCCTGAGCTGTCAATGCACAGTTTTTGGAGAAGCCCGTTAGTCCCCTACGAAGCCCCTCCCTACACCCTAAACCCTAAACCCTAAACCCTAAACCCTAAACCCTAAACCCTAAACCCTAAACCCTAAACCCTAAAGCCTAAACCCTAAACCCTAAAACCTAAACCGCCTGAACCCTAAACCCTAGACCCTAAACCCTAAACCCTAAACCATGGTTTGGTGAAGAGGCGGCTGGCGAACAGGCCACGCAGCCGGAGTTCGTGGCCTTGGCGCGTTGACGTTTGGTGCACTGACATGCAGTGACACATGGGGGTTTAGGGTTTAGGGTTTAGGGTTTAGGGTTTAGGGTTTCCGAGAATAGGGGTACCCTTTTGGGGGTCCCTTTAAGGGCATTCTGTTTTATTTGGGTATCAAGGGTCACTTCTCTAGATTACTACTAACTGCTTAAAGAACCCCCCCAAAAATGGAAACACCGATCCACACATCCATAAAGCAATGAGAACATATGCGGGTTTCCGAAAACAGGGGTACCCGTTTGGGGGTCCCTGTTAAGGGCATTCTGTTCTTTTTGGGCATAAAGGGGGTACCTCTTGAAATTACTACTACATGTTTAAGCAATCCCAAAAAATAGGAACATGTTCTTCCTGATAAGGGTAATATAGGGATAATTCTTTTCTATTCTTTTGAGGTTCTCAAGCAAGTAGATTTTGGTCCTTTTGGGGGTTATTCTTGTCAGGCGGGCCTTAATCTTTAGGATACCCAAAAAAGGGACCATCAAGTTGAGAACTGACCATATCGGGTAGTGAAGAACTGATGGGGAAGCAGGAGCCCGAGACTGTGCATGCAGAAGTTGTTGCATACGTGAGATGGGCTGTTGCGGGTGGCCGTGCAAGTGCAAGACGTCTTTGACTGTGAGGAAGCTTGAGACGAACTGAGGTGGTTAGTGTTTAGGGTTAATTATCAGGCTTGTTGGGGCTTATTGGGGTTTATTGGGGTTTATTGGGGTTTATTGGGGTTTGTTGGGGTTTATGGGGGTTTGCTAGGGCTTTATTGGGTTTATAGGGGTTTAACACTGCTGATTCGCTTGAACCCTAAATGGGGTAGGGTGCCGTACTATATCTAGAACCCCCCAAAAAAGGACCCTTAATTTAGAAAGACTACCCAAATACACCCGATGGCTCCAGCACTTAGCCGGTGTTAGGTCACTCAGCCGGTGCTAGGTCGCGCAGCCCGTGGATCCCTCAGCTGCGAATCTTCGACCCTGCGCCGGAGGAGATGTCCGAATGGTCGACAGATGGAGGCGAAGTTGAGCCAACAGCCGAGTCATGTGACCTTGTGTGTGGCCCCTCTCTCCCGGAGAATGCCAATGCTTCCACTCAACATCCCGGCTCCGTCAAGACTGAGCACGAGCACACCAAGCCGGCCATGAAGCCAACAAGTCAGGGGCGAGATGCTGACAATCGCAAAAGCTCCGCGAAGCCAGTCATGGAGCAATCGCACCTCGAGTTCTTGCAGTTCCTGCCGAGCAACCCAGCGAGTGACGATGGTGGATGTGAATGTGGCACTTTCCCAAGCGAGACAGCACCATCCGGAATGTCAGCACACCGTGAGAAGCAAAGTGGTGTATCAGCATCAGAGGCAAAGCAGCAGACTCTTGGAGTCACCAAGAGGAGGACCTCGAGGAGAACCTCGCCTTTGCGCCCAGGCCTCGTCACAGAGGCAAGCCGCTGCCGTGTATGGGAGGCAGCTCGGTATGGCAGGCCCTTGGTGTTTAGGGTTTAGGGTTTAGGGTGTTTGGGGTGTTTGGGGTTTAGGTTTTAGGGTTTAGGGTATGTTACCTTGTTGAGTCTTAAGAGGTTCTGAATGCTCGTTGAGAGGTTTAAAGGGTCAACCTAGGCAAGACAAGCTTCGGGAGAAGTCCCCTCCCCGCCCGATGCGGGACGTTTGCGAATTCGCATCACACCACAGCACTTCAGCCGCTTGGGTACCACCTTTCGGCATGTGCAAGTGAACTTCTCGCCCGTCCACTTTGCCATCCAAGCTGTTGACTGCGCAGGCTATGCCTGGACAGCTTGTTCGAACATGATGCCAAGGTGCCTGGCAGTGGATCGATGCAGGTACAAGATCGACCCCAATGGCAAGGATGTGCTTGTTACTCTGTGCACCGCCGACGAGGGTCGTCAGGCTTGGAAATGCCTGAAACGTCTTGAGCTGTTCCTGGCATACCAGACTGAAAATCAGGTCGGTGACAGCAAGAACAGCTTCACCTAGAGATTTGAGAAGATGAGCGCCCTGCTTGTTGATGTGGACTGTCAGCACTTCGGGGAGTGCTGCCCTTGTTACGGTGTTTCTTCAAGCCCCGACTCTGACCTACAGATTGTTGCAGTCACACTGCTCTCACGCATCACACCCTCAGTTTCCTTCCTTCGTGTTTCGGAGAGAATGTCCAGAGTTGAGGCGCCAGGACCTATAGGATGGAATCAGCACATGCTATATCTGGACGTTTGTGATCGACAGGTTGTATGAGATGTTGCTGACGTCACGCTGTTGCTTTTGATCGACATGTTGTATGAGATGTCGCTGACTTCAGTAGGCTTCAGGTTCTACTTGCTGCATCGGCGGTTTTCGGACAAGCGACCTGTGCACTTGCGCATGTATTTGGAGCTAGTGCTTGTCCATTCGAACGTCTGATAAACCGAAAACGGCCCTTAGGTGCAGCCGTTCCACTCACATGACTTGTCCATCATGGATGAGATGCTGTGTGACCAGTGCACTAAGCCTATTCAGTGAGCGTGATGCTCTCTCTCCAGGTGAGTTTCCGTTTCCTTAATGTGCTGCGCACGCTGCTACTACCGGCAAGCTGTTTCTGGCTTCGCCTATAGGCGAACGCCCCGCCACAGAGGACTTGACAACTTGAGATCGGCGAAAGTGATTCTCCGCGGAGTCCGTGCGATGTCACTGCCAGGGTTCAGGGTGTAAGGTTTTGTTTCTAGCTTACAAGCTTTACAGGGTGGACTGGCCTTATGAAGGGGGCATTGCAGAAACCCTAAACCCTAAACCCCAAACCCTAAACCCCAAACCTAAAACCCTAAACCCCAAATCTAAGACCCTAAACCCCAAACCTGAAACCCCAAACCCTAAACCCTAAAACCTTAAACCCTAAACCCTAAACCCTAAACCCCAAACCTGGCAGGCCCCAGCCCTCAGAGAGCGAAGCCCCTCGGCGAGCCAGGAAGCGGCCGAGCTGGCCCTGCTGGCGGCGGTGGGGTATCGTATGCACAGGCCGGTGGCTTCAAGCTGCTTTGGGGTTCAGGGTTTAGGGTTTAGGGTTTAGGGTTTAGGGTTTAGGGTTTAGGGTTTAGGGGTTTAAGGGTCTTAGGGTTGAAGGGGTCTTAGCGTTGAAGGGTTTAGGACTTAAGGGTCTTAGGGTTGAAGAGTTTAAGGGTCTTAGGATTGAAGGTTCTTGGGGTTGAAGGGTTTAAGGGTCTTAGGGTTGAAGGGTCTTCGGGTTGAAGGGTCTTAGGGTTGATTGGAGGGTTTAAGGGTCTTGAAGGGTTTAAGGTTCAGTTCAAGGGTTTTGGGCTTCGAGTTGGAAGTAGGTATTTGGAGGTCTTGCGGGAGGATGTGATTGTACACCGTGCCGGGTGCACATCGTACACATGAAATCGACAAGTCACAGAATGGGCAGCTGTCAAAATTATGATCCCTTTTGGGGTACCCCAAGTATTAGGGGCCGTATTGTAATAGGGATCCAAAAGGGACCTTAATTTTGACAACCACCCAAGTAGATTCGTTGATACTTCAGATTGTTGCGCGGAGTTGACTTTTGGTTGCTGAAAGAAGGAGTTCTGAGTTGGGTGAAGGGGTTCTTCCTGATGTTGAGGAGAGCGCATAGCTTGGGCTTTTCCTTTTGGGGTTTCGGGCCTGCTGATTTTGCATTTTTGAGGCTTTAGGCGTTTTTAATCCTAGAACTATAACTCTAAACCCTAAACCCTACACTTGGGGTTGTGTGCAGTTCCGCGCTGAACTGAGGCCCAAGCATTCTTTTCATTTCTTTGCTTCTTTTTTGGGGGGGATTTGGGGGTTTGGAATATCTTAGGGGTACCCTTTTTGGGGTCCTGATTATGAGGGGGAGCCTACCATTTGGGGGTGCAACTTGGGTCCTCTATGTTCGTAAACCAGCAGTTTCCCAACCTCAAATATACATAGTAGTTATCTAATGCAGTGTATATATATATATATATATTACACGTATTATATTATCTATATATATATATGTATATACATATATACATATTATATTTCCCTGAAGTCTTCCTCTGCACGTCTTCCAGTTTAGCGCTGTCTCCGGCAAGGCCGACACCGGCACATCACCGAGACTGGTGTCCGACCCAGCTGGTCTTTGATTTGAGGAATCCCACACCCTAAACCCTTAACCGTAACCCTAAACCCGAAGAAATGCTCAACATACACCTTGGGCATACCCTTAAAATAAAATCTCCCTTAGACTCCCTTATATGCTCCTTTTATAGGTTAAGGGGTATGGGTTTGGGGTATGGTGAATTATTCTTAGTGCCGGGCCCCACACCCTAGACCCTGAGTTTCGGTTTTTTTGGTAGCTTAGTGGTACCGTTTACAATTTTTCTTGGTTCTGGGTTCCTCATAAAGGGTGCCCTTATTACCCTAAACCCTAAACCCTAAACCCTAAACCCTAAACCCTAAACCCTAAACCCTAAACCCTAAACCCTAAACCCCAGAAGAGTGGCTCCTCGGCATGACCCAGGTTCGTCGAGTACGTCCACCGCTGTGAGAACTTTGGCAAACTGCAGGTGGGAAACCTGAAGCTCTGAAACCTGAAGCCTGCAATTCTTAAGCCCTAAGCCTGAACCCCAAAACCCCAAATAAGCCCTAAACCCTAAACCCAAAAACCCTGAACCCGAACCAGAGAGCTTCAAGGGGGCTCTAAGCCCTGAATCCTAAACCCCATAACCCCATAACCCCAAAACCCCGAAACCCCTAAACCCCCAAACCGCAAAAACCCTGAACTCTAAACCCCTAAACCCCAAAATCCCCCAAAAAACCCAAAAACCAAAAAACCCTGAACCTGATCAGGGCAAGCTGAAGCTTGCCTCGGCCTACATCTGCGAGCAAGGGCCTGAGACAGTCAGGAGCTGATTAGGGTTTAGGGTTTGGGGTTTAGGGTTTAGGCTCACTCACCAGGATCTTTCTGGCTTGTTAGCCCAGTGGTGCCCTTTCCCCGTTTTTCTTGGTTCAAGGTCCCCTTTTAAAGTAGCCAAGTTGGCATCATGCGGTGGCGCGTGCAACATGTTGTGCTACCCAATTGCTGGCGTTCGCTAGGCTGGCTCTTCTCAATGCGGGGAACTCAGTGTAGCCACGAAGCTGCTGCAGCCAGTGGTTTCGCCAACTCATCGAACCCTAAGCCCTAAGCCCTAAGCCCTAAGCCCTAAGCCCTAAACCCTAAACCCTAAACCCTAAACCCTAAACCCTAGGGGCCTTGGAGTTCCAAGCCCGTGCACCAAGGAGGCGGCCGGGCGCTGGGCCCCCTCGCTGCATGCGGCTGCCACGGTGATGGTTGCAGCGACGATCTTCGGGAGGCCCGCAGATCTCATTTGGCCGGGGTTCGGCATCCGGGATCGTGTTTTCTTCTACACCCATGCGCAAACTAGGGGGAGACGTAGACCAGCGCAGCATGTCGTAGACGGAGGCATGCGAACCAGAAGCCCGAAATCGCAAAGCGCCTGTTCGTGTTCGAAGGCGCTGAGAAAATTCCGGAGTCTGTCTCACTCCCACACCCGCCCGCCCTGGTTCTTAGTAAGGGAATCCTTTAAGGGATTCTATAGGGCCCTCATATCCCCAATTCCCTACGAAGAGCCAGCCAGCTGCAGGCCCGGGAACACGCTGCAAGCCATGGCCGTCCCGGATGGAGATCATCGGCGCTTGCATCAGCTGCTCGGGGGCTCAGACAGGTCCTTGAAGGTGTTTTGCCAAGCCCGTGATGCCAGTGTGGCCCCAAGGGTTTAGGGTTTTAGGGTTTAGGTTTCAGGGCTTAGGGTTGAGGGTTTAGGGTTTAGGGTCCAGCACTGAGACAAGCCCTTCATTCATGAGCATCCCACCTAGAACAATCGCGGGATCCTTATATTCGGGACCTTCGCTGCGTAGCATGCCCGGCTGCAAGCCTTCGTGGTGAAGGCGCGTGATTCTTCGAAGCACCTTCAGCCTTTTGGTGGACTGCCTTGGGAGGGCTTTGGGTTGTTCTTCAGGTTTAGGGATCAGGGTTTAGGGTTCAGGGGGTTTAGGGTTCAGGGGTTCAGGGGTTCAGGGGTTCAGGGGTTCAGGGGTTCAGGGGTTCAGGGGTTCAGGGGTTCAGGGGTTCAGGGGTTCAGGGGTTCAGGGGTTCAGGGGTGTAGGAGTGATGAGCAGCAGACAGCCCTACACAGCTGGTGAAGGTCTTGCTTCGTTCGCACCATGGAGCCCTGCTACCAAGCATGGGGGCAGGAGTCGGGCATCGAGCAGCATGCCATCTACCAGAAGTATGCAGGCCCAGCTCGAGTGAAGTGTGACACAGTTGCTGTATGCCCTAAGCCCTAAGCCCTAAGCCCTAAGCCCTAAGCCCTAAGCCCTAAGCCCTAAACCCTAAACCCTAAACCCTAAACCCTAAACCCTAAACCCTAAACCCTAAACCCTAAACCCTAAACCTACTTAACTAGTTCCTGTGCAGCAGAAGACGCAGCTTTCCTGGGAGGCAGCGAGTGGTCGCACATTGCCCTAGAAGTCTCTGGCTCAGGTTGCGCATGTGCTTCTCAAGATCTCTCAGCCTTGAGGCGGAGGTCCGTAACAGGTACGTGGGCAAGTTTCGCATCCTCAGGTTACAGCAGATTTGCAGCAGAATCTGAGACCCGACTGAGCGACCAAATGCTTGCCAACAGCTATGTCAATTTGACTCTGCATGTTCTCTCTTCGGCCACGGATTCTGTCGTCATGTTCTGTCGTGCCAGAGGGCAAATCGACCGACAGAGGGCCGCAGGATCTTGTCAGCGGCGGCCTGCTTGTGCAGGTAAGGCCGCGCCGTCTGCTGCGAATTCATTGTCATAGTGTAGAGGATCACGCAGGCATCCCCCTCAAAGGCCTCACAAACAGAAGTGAGTCCTCTCATTTGCCTTCTGTGATCCAGTGCCATGTTGTGGCACCTGAAATGCCACAAAAGCGGGGCGAGGCCTGGCTGGTCCTGGGAAGGTAGATGTTGGGAAGAA